TATATTGGAATTTTAGTTCTTTATATATTATTTTGAGGACAACATGCATTGGCTCCAATTAGCTTCAGTTATATTTTCCTGAATGATTTTTTGTTGAGGGTAATTGGGATCCTTCAGTCGTGCCGCGCGCCTATGGTATTCATTTTTACAGCGAACATAATAGAGTTTTAAAAATTGTGTTGAGCTTAGGTTAAACGAAAACGAAAAACAAATTATTTCTAGATTGTGTTTTAAGCAACAACACAAAATATTTAAGCATCTAACAAATTTTTGTTTACAAAGTTCACTTTAAAATTTATATTATGTACATCGTTATAAATTAAAGACGCTGTGAAATAAACATACAACAACAAAACCCCATCAGCATTACTATAAGCGAAACTAAAAACGCGCCTGAAAACCCATTGAATACATACAATGGTGGCGTGAAGCTCATCCCAGTTTTGCTTTTGAATGCTCCTCGCGCCCGCACTTGCATTTGCTGCTGTTTGATGATCAAATTAAATTACCGAGACGCATTGATTGCAAATTATTCAATATTCCGATGAAAAACACTTTTATATAAATAATTTATTTTATTTTTTATACAGTAAATCCCCGATTTCATTAATTGGATGACCACCCCCTATTAATTTTACATAAATTAAGTCCATCCCTGCTATAGAAAGTATGTGAAGTTGTTAAATGTTGATATACTAGTGTGCCAAAATAATAAGTGAATTCGAGAAAGATCAATTGCTGTACATTATGGTCGACTTCATATAGAAACCTTAAACAACAACAACAAAACAAAACGTATAAACAAAATGAATTCATATTTAAAATTCAGCATGTAAGATATCCATAAATACGAAATATAAACACTGAAATCCGAAATGGTCTACTTTTTAAACGATAATCCAACCCACCGAACGAAGCCGCCGAGTATTCGGCTTCGCCAAACCGTAGCTGCCGCTGATGATGTCCACCTGCCCCTCCTCCTCTGCATTCCAAGCTCCAAGATTTGCCAATTGCTGCATTGGTTTGCTGCTTCTTTTTTTTCTCAATTTTTATTTGGTTGAACATTTTTTGGTAACTATAATTCGCCCATTATTATTATTATTTAGTTCCTGATGTCGTCGTTGATAAATGGTAAAGGTCAGCGTATCGCACGCACACACACGCAAGAAGATGATCCTCAAGGATGTCGAATTTGTATACCTTTATCAATCTTGTATTTTTTGCTCAGACAGCCCTCTGTTAACTGATATTGCAAATTGTATCCAAAATGAATAAAATTATTTATTTGATTTAGAAAGTAATTAAACAAAAAATGTTTTCTTCATTTATGGGTA